TAACCCTAACCCTAACCCTAACCCTAACCCTAACCCTAACCCTAACCAACCCTAACCAGCTCCAGTCAGCTTCAGGCTGTTCAAAACAAGATGGAATCTTTTCAGAGCTGCAGAGGGAAGCTAGACACAGTGGCTTCCACTGACCCTGACCTAATAATTCCTTATTTCCATTTTCAGCAATGTACAGAGGATCTGCTTCCCTTTTCTGAGAATCCTGACACAGGCAGACAACCAAAACAAGCCAGGCAGCCAGCACACACATGCACACACACACACACGCGCGCACACACACACACACACACACACACACACACACACACACACACACAAAATGGACCACAACAGGAGACCTCCAAGTTGCAGCTGTGGAGGGGCCCCAGCCTGACTGTGACCTTATCCTAGTACACAGATTGTGCAGTAGACCACTCACACACAAACTATATCCCAAGATCAAGTGCTGACTGGAAGCAGGGGTGTGTGGCTTTCTCCAGCTGTCAGGACAGAGGAACCCCAACACGCTGGTGGGCTTGGCACTGCTGACATGTCTCTAGGGGCGGGCTGGCTGGCTGGGCTTCAGTCCAGCAGGCTCTGGGGTTTTGCTATCTGAAATGTACCAACATGTCTTCCTTTTTGAAAGCTGTTATGTTCAGGACATGTATGTTAGAAGTGTCCCACGATGGGGTAAGAGAATTCTCAGATCCTACAATGTGAGCAACTAACTATGTTTAAACCGTCACTGCTCACCTACTCTGTCCAGCATCTCTGGTCCATGTCCACTTTCAGAGTAATTTTTAAAATTCCTGTCTATTTTTCTTATTATTTTAAAAAAATCCCACTAAAGGTAATCTGGGAAATGTCTACAAGCACGCCCACAGTACACTTCTAAACTCCAGAGGAGTGTGATTTATATTTATATAACAGTTTGCATGCATTTCAACTTCCTGGGGACATGGCTATTGTTTGAGGGGAGGCGTTCCCAGTGGGGGCAGAGGAACCTGTCACCACAGACAAATGGGACAGGATCTTCTGACCTTGTGACTCCCTGTGCTAGCACCTTAGTGGCTAAGAATTATTTAGTCTGTTGTTTGTTTTTTCCCCAAGTTGGTGGAAATTTCCCACCGTTTATGCCTTCCCTCTTTACTTCCTCAAATTGGAAAACCAGAAAGAAAAACTTCCCCCTGGAAGGTCTTGCCTACTGTGATGTTTCTAATGTTTTCTTTTCAGCCCTCACATCACCCACATCCATCTGGAAACCGGTTCTCAGAACGCTCCAGTATCAACTTAGGAACAAACCACGCCATGGCACGCACTTGGTCCTGCCACCGCAAATAGAATTTCTTTGGGTAGACAACTCACTGATGGTAACTCTTGCAAAACAGAAAAACCACAAATTCAAAGCATGTAAACCATAAATGCAAACACAGCAGATGTCTACTTAGAGAGTGAGAGGCAGGACTAACGAGCTGCAGTGTGCACTTGTGAACATCTCAGGGGCTGGGGAGATGGCTCAGCGGGTGATGAGCTCATGGTGCAAGAGCAAGGGGACGGAGTTTGGCTCCCCAGCACCTGTGTGAATGGACACTAGGTAGGCATGGAGCTTAGCCACGACCCAGCAGAAGACAGAGAGGTAGTGGAGTGGGGGTTGTGGGGACAGTGAGGAACAAGTCTAGCCAAGTCAGTAAGCTCTGGGCTCAAATACGACACCTGAGCCTTCATATGTGCACGTCTATGTGTGCCCACACACATACAAGTGCCTGCACACATGTGAGCATGTACACATACACACACACACACATACACACACACGCATGCATGCACACATGAACACACACAATAAGTAGTAATAAAAAAACCCAAAACTTTAAAAAAATAGATTCAGAATATTATTTACAGATCAAAATTAAGTGGTTTCAAACAAGCACAGCATTTGAATTTACAACAGAAGGCAAGATGAGCTTGGTGTTAGGAGGGAACGAGGATCTTCCTTCTTGGCTTGAGTGACAAGGAGCAAGCATGAGGTCACTGTCACAGACAGAGATGATCCCCCAGCCCCCTTTCAAATGCCTGCATTTTCTCTGCTGGCCTCTGCATCTGTGATTCGTGTAGCAACTGCCGCACCACGGGCCAGGCTCGGTCACTAGATGTAGTGTTTCAGTGACAGCGTGAGCAATGCACTGCACTGTCTCCTTGCCCCCCATCTGTGAATCTCCATCCAGGGAGAAGCGAAAGGGCTCTGAGGGCATGTGAACCACCAGTGTTCCTTCCTCTAATGTGATGGCATGACATGAGCGTTGACAGCGACAGCTGAGGAAAGCACTTCAGAGCATTAGTGTAGCACTCACAGGGCCCTCCCACCTCAGGGACAGGCTGTTACTACCAGTTACCAGCTGACAGGGACAGAGAGAGACTCAGTCTTAGAGACTGGGTGAGTTCCCCAAGGAAATAAGGGTGCTGAGGGATCAAATGGTAGCTGATGCTGGCTCACTGGTTTGAAAGTCTATGGATGAACCCACTCACCAGACAGCTCAAATGATACAGACAATACCACGCCAGCCTCCAACAAGTCCATCTCCTCTATTGGAAAGGGGAGGGAAAGAATGAACCAGAGGTGGAGAGCCAGACTGACTTTTCTAAAAGCCAGAACTCAGATGGCCCTGATGCACACCCACAACTCTCTCCTTGATTACTTTCACTTTCTCCCAGAATTAGGTCCTGAGCTAGTTACTGCTCTAATGCTCTGAAGAGACAGCATGACCAAGGCAACTTATAGGAGAAAGCATTTAACTGGGGGCTTGCTTACAATTTCAGAACGTTAGCCTGTTATCATCATAGTGGGGGGAGTACGGTATTAGGCAGGCAAGCGTGGCACTAGAGCAGTAGCTGAGA